GACAAATAATGTTTTGCACGAAGTTCTCACGGAGAAGATAACCGCTGATTTGTAGTCTAAATTGGAGGATTTGTATTTGACGAAGTCGCTCACTAATCGCCTCCTCTTGAAACAGGGTTTGTATACACTTCGGATGTTGGAAGGAACACCCATCAAATTTTATATTGGTAAATTTAATTTTGTGATTACAGATTTGAGTAAAGATTGATGTTAAGATCGATGAAGAAGATCAAGCTGATGGCTTGTTTGCTCAAAGAAGATTGAAAGAAAGGGGCTTTGGAGGTAACAGGTATAAGTCGAAGCACATGAATCCGACCTGCAGATATTATAAGAAGAAAGGGCACGTCAAGACCGATTGTTATAGATTGAAGAATAAAAATAAACAAGAAAAGTATGAAGAAAAATCAAGGGAGGACTCCGCTGAAGTTGATATTGTTGAAGATGTAATTTTGTTAGATACAGATGATATAAACAGGAGTATGGATGATTAGATTTTGGATTCGGGTTGTTCCTATCATATGTATCCTAATCGGGACCGGTTCACCATTTATGAAGCTATTGATGGTGGAGTTGTTTTTATGGGGAACAACGCCTCATGCAAGACTGTTGGAAAAGGCATAATTCAGATTAAGATGCATGATGGAGTCATCAGGACTTTAACAAATGTTAGGCATGCTCCAGGTTTACAAAAGAATTTCATCTCTTTATGCACTCTTGATAGCATTGGGTGTAATTTTTTAGGTGAAGGTGGAGTTCTTAGGGTTACAAAAGGCTCTCTTGTGGTTATAAAAGGAAAAAAATCAACAACTTGTATGTTTTACAGGATTCTATCGTTACCGACTCGATTGCAGTTGCATCGTCGATGTCAGAAGTTGATACTATCAAATTATGACATATGAGACTTGGTCATATGAGTGAGCGCGGATTGACCAAAAGTAGAGTAAGAATGGTCTTTTATGTGGACATAGTATAGGAAAATTAGGATTCTGCGAGCATTGCATCTTTGGAAGCAGAAAAAAGGGTCAGCTTCAGTATGGCAGTGCATCAGACTAAATGTACTTTGGATTATATCCATTCAGATCTTTGAGGACCTTCTCAAGTTACCTTGAAGGGTGATAATTCCAGATATTTGTTAACCTTCATTGACGACTACTCTAGGAAGGTTTGGGTCTACTTTATGAGACATAAAGATGAGGTGTTTGTGACTTTCAAGCAGTGAAAATCTTTGATTGAGAAGCAGACTAGGAGGCTGATTAAGAGGCTTAGAACTGATAATAACATTGAGTTTTGTGGAGGAGAATTTAATGAGTTCTGCAAGAAAAAAAGGAATCGTTAGACATAGTACAGTCCCTCGCACGCCACAATAGAATGGAGTGGCAGAATGTATGAACAGAACCTTATTAGAGAAAGCTCGTTGTATGTTGTTCATGCAGGTTTAAGCAAGGAATACTGGGTGGAAGTAGTGAATACGGCTTGTTACTTAGTGAATCGGTCGCCATGTACTGCTATTAGTTGTAAAACTCCATCAGGAGGTTTGGTCCAATAAGCCTGCGGATTATTCTAATCTTAGAATATTTGGTTGCCCTACATATGTGCATATTAGTCAAGGGAAACTTGAGCCACGAGCGAAGAAGAGCATATTCCTAGGTTATGCATTAGGTGTTAAGGGATTTAGGTTGTGGTGTCCTGATTTGAAGTCTCCTAAGATTATTATTAGCCGTGATGTTACTTTTGATGAATTGGTCATCAGTTTCAGTTGTTGATAAGGCGCATACTACAGGACATAAGGTGGAGTTAGAAATTCATGATTCAGCTCTTCAACAGGATAAGACTACGGGAGTTCAGCAGCCAGATCCCGTTCAAGTAGATAAAGCACCTCAGCAGCTACAGAAAGAGTGGGAATACACTATTGCTAGAGATCGGTTTAGACGAGATATCCGACCACCGTGAAGATAAGAAGATACAGTAGCTTATGCATTGTCAGTTAACAATTTTGTACCTTTCAGCTATTCAGAAGCTACTTCAGGTGATGACTTCGCTCATATTTACGGTCGTCGTGAAGACAATTTAGTCGATTTGTTGAGGAGGCCTCTTTCAGTTAGCAAGTTCAAGTCGGGCTTGAACTAGATCGATACATGCCGCACTTAGATCCTATGCGGGGCTATTGGAGAAGGTGGAGTAAGTTAGCTTATTTTGGAGTGAGGAATCTTCTACGCATTTGAATTAAGTTGGAGATTTGTTATAGGTTGCCTCAAATACTCAAATCCATATTGCTTTGGGAGTTCCTTTTTGGCTTGGTTTGTTTTGATCAAGAGTCCTACTTACATCAGACTTTGCACAACCAATCATATTAGATGTTTATTTCTACTTGGAATCTTGTTGGGTTTTAGGACATGTGGACTTCTATTCTTATTAGAACTCTTATTCCTTAGACACCAAGGAGCTGGGATATTCAAGGCTATATAAGAACAGTCTTTCAAGCCAATAAGATTCATCAATCTTCATAGCACCAATCAAGCAGAAGAGAGTTCTTTTGTGAAACATATTTGATATTCTTCTCTTTTGTTCTTTTAGTTAAGAGTTGTATTAGGTTTTTAGGGTGTGATTTAGGATTGAGAGATTGAGAGATCTACTTTGTACTCCTCACAATTAGTACAACTTTTCTCCTCATTCGCCCATGGACGTAGGCTACAAGTCAAACCACGTATATCTTTGCTCGTGTGTTCTTGATATTTTTTGTACTCTCGTGTGATTGATATTAGCTTATCCTGAAAAATTTATCATAACAAATTAGTATTATAACCCTCAGCTCTAAGCCAATAATTGTCATAAATTTTTCATGTAACCATCCACTCATAAATTTCCACCACTAACTCTTAGTGATGCCACAATTGCTTCTCTATTAATTATGGCTCCATCTCTCCAACTTTCTTCATCTTTAACCTCTCTCAACTTTCTCTTATAAAAATTGTCATGTTTGTCTTTTTCGAATAAGAATAAGAAGGATGGAAAAGATTTCTTTTAGTTATGATTTAAGTTACCATGATTTTCTTGTATAATGCTAACGGAAACACTTTTTTTATTTGATGTTGTAGGTGCAAGCCCAAATGCCCCTTCTCACAACCAATTTTTGGTTTGTATTTCTTCTTGAATGAGCCCTTCTCACAACCAATTTTTGGTTTGTATTTCTTCTTGAATTTTCATTTCTTATTTCATGGTAATTTTGTTGTCGTGTCAAATGAAAAGCTAAAACCCTCCTCCCCCCCCCTCTCCCCCTCCCCTCTTGGAAATATTAATTATTTTATATTAATCCAGGATTCCAATTCTGTTGCTTTTTCTCAAATTTCATTCTTGATGTGGTTAGCTAACTACCCATGAATTAGGGTTGTTTAAACGGTCGGTCGGTTCGGTTTTTATTAAATATTGAACAACCGAAACGGACTACCCATTATTCAAAACCGGACCGAACTGTTGCAAGTTGGTTCGGTACGGATCGGTTTGGTTTGTTCGATTCTAATTTGTGAGAATGTATATTTTTTTATGATCTAATTTGTAGTCCCCATAATCTAATTTTAATCATAAAATCTAATTAAACCAATTATTTCTCACTAATCTACAATTTAGTATCATGCATCAAGAACTAAAAAGTTTAGATCTTTCCCCCTGAAACTGAAAGCATAGATTTAAAATTAGGGTTTTTAGTTTATACCTCCACTACGGGTGTGGGTGTCCCCAAAGTAGGAGATGGATCCTGAAGAGATGATTCAGCCTCGGCCATGAAGACCATGATGAGTGGCTGCTTAGCGACGAGTGAAGGAAATTCGATTCGACGGCTAAAGGAAATTCGAGTCAGCGACGAGGCGGTGAGTTAGAGGAGTCAACGGCGAGTTAGAGGAGTCAACGACGAGTCATAGGAGACGTTGGTGAGTGCTGCGTCTGCGGTGGTGTGCGCTGCGGTGCGATCTTGCGCTACGGCCCTCCGCTTGCGCCGGTGCGCTGCAGAGTGCAGAAAGAGAGAGAGTGTGAGTGAGAGAGTGCGGAGTGCGGAACTACGGACAGAGAGAGGAAGTGCGGCTGCGGGCTTGGATTTAGGGTTTAGGTATTGAGATTTGAGGGATTTTAGTGAACAGGTCGGGTATGGTTCCTAATGGGTATGAGTTAGAAAGTATAGTGTTATTAGTGATGCGGTTTGTTTGGGCGGTTCAAGTTGAAAAGTTTTCACCCGATCCGAACCGACCTACAAACAAAACCGATCCACAAACAAAACCAATCCGAACTGCTAATTTTCGGTTGGTTCTGTCGGGTTTTTCGGTCTGGACCGGACCATGCACAACCCTACCATGATTGCTGCCCTTTTTGTTGTCTTCAGGATCTTCCTATATGTGCTTATAGTTTACATTTTTTAAAAGGGTGTTACTGATTCTTAGCTGTTGAGATTGAAATTGTCCTGAACAAAATCAGGATAGATAGCAGCGCTGGAGGAGTTAAAGGCACGAAAATATCTCATTTAAGAATCAGAATCCCTCTTTCTTCGAGATCTAGTATGTCATCCAACACGTCTCAGCACTTAAAAAGGAGCAAGCTCAAATAACGACTCAATGAATCATGTGCGTATGATAATGCACATAGCCACAGAACTCAAAGCAAGTAACTTTTTGAAAGTTGCCACTTTTCATGATTAAGCCAGGGTGTATATTCCTGAAAAATGATGAGAGGGATGTTGCGAGTTGAGAGGTTCAAGATTGAGATGTGGAAAAAGGGGATTCTTAAGACAATTTACCATGTTAGTCGGGACAGGGGGCAGGCGTTAAAAATTAAAGTCCAGTGTGGACCCGTGGTGAAGACATTTTCCGTTTAGTTGTTAGAGCTTTGCTACAGGGACCCAAAATATGGGACCAATAAAGGGGACAAGTGAGGTGTCCCTCTTCTATTGGATAATGAGTTGACCATCATTAATGATAAATAATAAACCTAATTACCCATTAGAGAGCAGGGGGGGAGACGATGATAATTTTGAAATGAACGTGAGTAAAAACCAGTAAAAATTGGATTTCAAACCGACAGTTATGAGGGGTAAGATCAAGAAGTACAACTGAACCTCCCACACACCTTCAGAAGCTCAACCCCGTGTCCCTGAACTTATCCTCTGTGATCTTGTCGACACGCCGAGCCGCCTCCGCCGTGAGATGGTTCACAGAATCGCCAACGGCTCCGCGCCTGAACAGGTGGCTGTTTTCAAGGCCCGGTGCCCATGCAGCTCCCTTCTTCTTGACCTCTAGACTTCGCAGGTTCTCGAACTTACACAGCGCGACGATGCCCTCTGCTGCTCCATCCTTTTCTTCCTCCCCAGTGAACGGGCGCCCTACGAAGTCTGCTATCCTCTTCAGCTCAGCTGCAGGGTCTTTCATGACGTCCTCGTACCTCAAGAACAGCACCTGCCCGGGCCTTTCCAAGCTTGCGTTCCAGTATCCGAGCACGTGATCCCAGAAGGGACCGGCAACGGATGCACCGCTGCAGAAGAGGTCGAGAGCGCGGTCGAGGGGGAGAGCCTCTGCTCCAATGTTCGAACGCCCCGCGTTGGCGAAGTGCCACAAGGAGATGAAGGCGTCCTTCGGTTCGCGACACAAATACACGAGTTTACATCCGGACTGGGCGACGGAGTGCGGGAGCAGATGGATCGGGATGTGGGTCGAGAAGAGCCTGGGCGAAGGGAGCAAGTCCAGATCGGGAACCTGACCGTTCGCGTAAACATGGTTTTCTAAGAAAGGAACGCATTCATGGACGGCGACGGTTGTTAGGTACTTCTCGGGCTCATAATGTGGAGAGTCGCGGTGAACCACGGCGAAGAGGATTGATTTGAGCCAGGTAGTACCTTAGTTTTAGAAACGTTAGACATGGCTAAATCAGCAACAAGGGATGCAAACGTCGTCGTCGATGTGTACCTGATTTAGGAGCGGTAGCGAGGATTACATCGGAGGGTTTCGCCCGAAACAGCTTTTGAGCTGCCATCGCGCCGAGCAACATGGGCATGGGAGCAAACCAGCCGTTGTATTCGTGAAGTTTGAGAATGGCACAGCCGTCAACAGACGGGAGGCTCAAAACTTTTTCCCTGTAATGTTGGCACAGCGCCCGGTCGCTTTCTTCTTCTTCTCGGGTCTTGGGAGAGGCGAAGCATTTGGACAGGGGTGGAGATGATGCCATGGGGATTAATCAGGGGACCGGTGGTGGGTTTTGAGGTTGTGAAGAAAAAGGATTGTTGAAATCTTGACGATGAGGTTTTTAGTTATAAATCTTTAATAACTTGTCAGAGTGGTCACCAATGGCTCCACCAATGGCCACGACGTGACCCATCAACATTTAGAGCATAGCATCCCACAGATGGAACAATATCAAAATACTGAAGATTTGGAGACTATTTTAAAAGATCAACCAATGAGAAGTTAGGATCAAAGGTTTTAAAAAGATCAACCACCAATTTAGTATACCGACATATTTTCAGTAACAGGACAAATTCTACATAAGCATTTCAATTTGCTATTTAAAAAAAAAGATGGCATTTTAGTTCAAATAGAGCGAACAAGTCGGTCAAATGAGCACTGGACACTAATCAAATGTGCATGTTTTTGAAACAGTCCACATCTCTGCAAATTATTACGAAGTCATTCGAAAGAAAGAAAAACTAATCTTTTGCTGAACGCAAATGAGAAATTATGAAAGCATCCCTGTCCACAGAACAACTTCATTGTACCTGAATCGGAAAAAAAAAGGAATTTTTTTTATAAATAATTTAGCTATTTATATAATGTACCTATAAAAGAGAAATGACAGCTTAAAATGTTATGTAGACTAGAGATTCCAACCTCTCAAGAATCAGATGTCTTGACGATGAAGTTCTGGCGGCTGATGGGATTCATGACGACTGGAGGTCCAGCAGTGCGAGGCCATGCCTGAAACTTATTATTGTATCACAAGCATATGCAATCACGAAAGATCCTGCAACAGCTGCGGCGATCGTCACTGTTGATACTTTTGCTGACATATTAAGCCTGCAGCAATATGGGAATCGAGTGAGAAAAGATGAGTGCAAAGTCGATTGCTAAACAATGCCAGGATAATAAAGAAAATCGAAGGTAGTAATACTAAAGTAAAAAAAAAAGAGCAATACAACCACTGTTATGTTTGGACATTTGGATTCAAATCAAAGTCCAACAAGGATCACCATCAAGATTCATAACAAATAATAACCAAGGTTCGATTCCGAGTTGGGTAATCAAAAGAAGAAAAAAAAAACAAAAACCAAGCTTATAGAACACTATTTCCTAAAACTGGCTGCATGTTTTTCAGATTTCCACCAATAAAAGTTACACACAATACAGGACATGTCTCACCCATAACTTGTTCAGAGGTTCTCTCTTCTTTTTAAACGTTTGTCAATTTTCTCTTAGCTCCCAAGATAAACTGACAGTAACTTGTACATGTTACTTGCAGCAATCGTTCGCTATCAACAAGTCTCATGGGGTAAAAATACATGAGGTCAAGTTCACACCACGGTAACATGCACTGCAAATTAAGACTAAAAGGGATAGCATGTAATTTCCCAGTAAGAAAGAATGGCTCATCTCGCAGAATAGAGAGAAGATGCACGCTACATGCACAGACTAGAATTTCAATTATAAGCACATACTTCTTCAGGAATATACTTTTACGTACTACATTTGAATTCTTATGACCCATTAACATCTTTAAATTTTCATAATAAAACCTTATAGACCTAAAGGAATTTCAAGCACAATGCATATACATAAATTGGTATCGAATTTGACACGGGATGAATATTAAATTCACAATAAAATATGTTCCAAAATGCAGCAGATAAGGAGTCATTGAGACTAAGCTCAAGCTATTTCATCATTTTTAGTGAATCATGTCCAAAAAGTACTGTATCTAATCCATATCTGATCCATGTCACAATTAAGGGATACTATTGTCAATCTTGGCATTGTTATAAATTATAGATCCTAGTTAATAGACTAATGCATGACCATCAATGTCAAAAATATTTCTTAGTTTCTTCTCATCAGCATCATCATAATCATCTAAACCTTGTTTTCAAAGTGAGTCTGCTACTGAACACAAATCAAGTTCCAGAAAAAAATTCAACAAAGGATCGAACAAATTTTTACAAATTAATAACTGTGAACGAGACATTCACTTTCCATGAATTGGTGACAAAATTCCAAGATAACTATGAGCAACGATGGACCATGCAATAAGATATTTACATCAAATTGAGATGCAAGTATAACAATCTTTTGGTCATGCATTGTAAGCACAATGAAGGATTCAAGGTTAAACGAGTTTTCTCAAATTGGTTCCCTCTATGAACCAAGTAATCTCATAATAACTTGATGCTATTGACTTCTCTCTTTTTCCAACACAATCTTTTCCAAATTTAACTACCTTTTTTATTTCCTCCCTTCACAACAATTCACTGCTGTTGAGTACACAAAATTTGCAACTGCACCTATATTTGTGATTTTCAAAAACAGTTGCAACCACGATCATAGATGCATGTTTTGATGCAAGTACAACTTTTTTGCAATTACAGTTAAAGAGAGAGGTTCCTTTTCGCCAAAAAAAATGACTTGAAAACGTATTGATTTCAAGTAAATTTTGTGAGGAGGAGCTTCGTTCCATAACTGTATTTACAAAAAGACTGCGGTTCCACAAATGCAATTTCCTCTTACAAATTGCAGCTCTTTCTCAATTGCAACTTCTGCGAACCGAAAATTGCTTCATATGTCAAAGTTCTGCTTGATCTCATTAAACCCAACAAGCATTCATCCTCCTTTACAAGAATACCAATAGCACGTTGCATCCTGCAGCAGTCTTAACCATCGTAAATCTAGATCTGTAGTCCTCAGATCAAAATTTTACCACACCTAGACAGCTTCTTATCTCAAAGCAACAACTAACAAAATCCATAAAATACATTCAAGGGGATCTCAAATGTGGCTAGCTTCAATTTCTTAACATACCCCATTTCATGAATACTCTACTTTTTAATGCCAATATTACATTCAGCTACCAAAATATAAAACAATAATAATATCTCCGAAAATAGACATCGAAGGACTTCCTCATGGTATCAATCAAATCCCAAAATGCCCAACTACTATTGAGAACCCTAAAAAAAACTACGTATTCAGGCCACGGTATCAAATTCTAGATCCGTCATACCAAATCTCAAAAATACCCACGAAAATAAATTTGTGAAGCAGAAGAAATAAAACACCGTTGAAACCCTAGAAAAATCCAAATTTTAGGTCAAGATCAAACTAAACGAACCCAATAATTTTCAAATTAGAAAGAAGTACTTAAGAGAGATAGGAATTTACGGTTGATTAGAAAACGAGAATCGAAGATTGCCGGCGAGCGATCGAGCAAGAATCGAGGGTTGAGCGAATAGGGGAAATTTGGGGGCTCGGCCGAGGCTTTGAATGGCTACGATATTCTGAAATGACGATTGTGTCCTTTTCTTCCATTGACATGTAGGGCCCTGATTGAACCTGGGTTTCCCATCAGAGGTATATTCCACCTATTTGATAAATGATATTTAAAATAATAATATTCAAAGAAAATCTATAAAGGAATTTCTAAAATAAAAGAGGGGCCAAAATATCAATTTGACCTATAAAGTGACACACTTTGACCAATAAGGCTTAAAAGGTAACGTTGATGAAAATAAAAGAGGGGCCAAAATATCAATTTGACCTATAAAGTGACACACTCTGACCAATAAGGCTTAAAAGGTAACGTTGATGACAATAACACCTATAAATTGACACAGTTAATCACTTAAACATACTCTAGTCATCGAATTTTTGATTCGTGGAAGAAAATTATGAAACTTTGCATATATACCTTTCATATCTCTCACACTTGCAAATTTATTCTCGAAATTAAATTATTTGCATAAAAACCTAACTCTCTCTTTCTTTTCAACCTCTGTCTCCTCACTCCCCTCACTTTCTTCCTCCACTTCCTCCACTCTCTTCTCCACTTTTAAGTTGGTGTTTGAGGGTAGAGATGAGAGGAAGGAAAGGAGAGGAGGGAAGGAAAGGAGAAGACCAAGATAAGAGAATAGAGAGAGGTGAGGGGAGGAACATGGGTGGAGGAGAAAGAGGAGGAGGTGAGGGTGAGGATTTTGGGAAGGAGGAAAGAGGAGAGGGAGTAAGATAGGAGAGAAGAAGATGATGAAGCATATGGTGGAGAGAGGAAGGGAGGGAGGTGGAGAGAGGGAGGGAGGAGCGAGGGAGGGAGAGTTTTGGGAAGGTGAAAATAGGGGAATGAAGTATTTTGGGAAGGAGGAATGTGGAGAGAATAAAATAGAAGGGAGAAGAGGAGGATGAAGGAGATGATGGTGGGAGAGAGAGAGAGAGAGAGAGAGAGAGAGAGATGGGGAAGGGTGAGGGAGAGAGGGAGGGAGGGGGAAGAGGGAGATTGTGTGTTTTGAGAAGGAGACAATGAGGAGGAAATAGTTTTTGAGGAGGAGGTAAGATGGAGGAGGGAGGGAGGGGGAAGAGAGAAAAATGAATTTTTTTATTTAAATTTTAGAGGACAAATAGGTGTGAGAGATATGAAGGGTATATATGCAAAAATTTTATACTTTTTGAGGTCAAACCAAAATTTTGGTGATCGAAGTAGGTTTAAGTGGTTAATTATTGTTAATTTTATATATTTCATTGTCACCGGCATTACTTTTTAGACCTTATTGGTCAAAACGTGTCACTTTATAAGCTAAATTGGTATTTTAGCCATAAAAGAGGAGAATGAGTTAAGAAAAGGGAGAAAATAATAATATTTAAAGAACTTTTATTAATTAATTTTTAAAATAAAGAAGAGAAGGAATTAAGAAAAGGGAGAATTTTTCAAAATTACCAATTTAATATGGGAAAATTGCTTCAAGGCCCCAAAAGTAAAAAAATCATTGTGCAACAGCCCCCTGTACTTTTACTTTTTTGTATAAACCCAAAATACACTGTAAAAGTGTCTTTCAGCCCCTCCAACTCGGCAGAATGAGCTGTAAATCTTAGAAACCCGACTCTACCCTTCCCGCCCACTCCGCTACAGCCTCCGTGCGTTGGTAACGGTGCCCGCCCACTCCGCCACTATCGAGGCTCGCTCTCTCTCTCTCTCCTCTCTCCCTCCCGCACTCTGTCTCTTGCCCTCTCTCCGGCGAAATACCCAAATTTGCACTCTAGGGTTAGGTCGGAACCGGATCGAAGATAGCAAAAAAATCGGCGAACGAATGCGAAGTTGTTCACCGTCCTCCTCCGCCGCTGCAACGTGAGGAACATGCACCGACAAACGACGAGCGAGAAGACTCACCCTCGACCGAGGTTAAAGCATGCCCCTCGTCGGTGTCGACTGATGAAGATCCCCCCTTGCCTTCCAAGAAGTATGAAGACCCCACTTTGCCATCTTAGACCGACTGTGGTACCGATTCTCTCACATCCTCTCCCGCCTCCAAGTCTTCGTCCACTCATGCGTCATTATTAGGGAATGGCAGCACCGATGAAGCCACCCAGATGTTGTTGAGTTTCCAAAGGGGGGTAAGGAGAAAAAGAAAAATTACAAGTTCACAACAGGCACCAAAGAAATCCATAAAGAAGTAAGTTGATGTTATATTTTCCAATTTAGATAGATGTTACAGATTAATGTTGATGCATTATGAACTATATGCCTGGATCTATGTAATGTAACATATTAATGTTAGGGCTGAATAAATGGCTGTTACGTTTTGTTATAAGCTACTAATGTTTCTTATAAATTGTTAACTCTGGACATTGGTTGAAGGTATTGGTAGTTGATACCTGACTTTACAGAACATGTGTTAAGTTTTATTGGTGGATAACAACTCTGGCTATTGTTTGTTAAGGTGTATAGCGTAACTATTACATTTCATCGTTGCATGTTAACTATTGGCTGTTGGATGTTAAGTTAAGTGGGGTTGATGTTAAATGTTAAATTTTAATACAGGAAAAAGTCAGGTGCTGCTAAAATTAGACCTACAGCTAGTTTTGCCGCATATTGTAATTTTATGAAAGTCCTCGAACCGAGAATGCGGTAGTGTCATTGGGATGCATACCAAGGGTGTACATTCTAGCATTATGTAAAGTTTGGCCCCCCAGCAATAGATTGACCCACGCTAGAACTTGTATTGAGTCACTATAAGGGTAATGAAGTGGCATTTTCTCTGCCCGATGCCGAAAGTGGGAGAGAAAATGTTGTTAATTTTGATATAGATTGGGTGCATGAACACACAGGTTTCCCAATTAATGGGAAAATAATTTACAATAATAGAGATCATTTCCCTAGGAAACATGTTGGTTCCTTTCATGCTTCTGAGACAGTTGTAACTGTCTCGGAAACGTGTTGGCTTCCTTCATGTTTCTGAGACAGTTGTAGCTGTCTCGGAAACGTGTTGGCTTCCTTAATGCCTTTAACACTTGTTTTACATTATAAAACTTGTGTAATGTGCTTCTCGTACATTCTTTAGTTGATCTTTAGCTTTGGATGATACTCTGCAATTTAGATGACGACGTTTATCGCCTTCTCTCTATCTTGAGCTATATACGATAATCCATAGGCAATTTTTTGACGCCTACAATGTCGATAACCCGAAATGCGTTACATATCGTCTCCCGGCTGAGTCGACTACTTAACCACTCCATTCGGTCGACTAATCGGCCGACATCTTTCGAGAGCGACTCAAAAGGCGATACTTCTCGACCACCAGATGAGTAGAAAGGCGACGAAAAGCCACGAGCCTCGAGCCTCTTCTGTGGATTGATGACCAATCGCCTTGCCATAAATGCCAGTAAATGTATTATAGGCGTCATCATTCCTCTGCCCCCAATAATATTTATGACACATCAGACCACGTCGGCACTGCACACCCCCAATCACTTCACATTAAACACCGAAATGACCTCTTTTCCACTGGTCAGCAAACACCTGTAAAGTTGAAGCTGGCTTGGCCGCTAACCCATGTCCGGCTAAAGTTACCATCCTACCCTCCTTCCTCAACTATAAAAGGAGATACTATTTTTCATTACATAGTAAGCTTTTTCTCATTACTCTCTGAACTTAAGAACTATTGCAGTTTCTTTTACTTTTCCACACAAGAAACCCACTGACTTGATCATCGGAGGAACAACCGGGGAATCACACCCTGCCATTTTACAATTTGTTACTTGTGCAGGGAAGAACAACTTGCTCAAGGACTAGACATTCGGAGAGTTTGAGGACCTCCGTTAATTTAATCAAGTCCTTTTATTTTGACTGTGTGATTGCATACATCAACAACTTTCTTTTCATTTCTTCTCTTTCCTATTGCTTATTTATCCTTTTTTTTTTTTTTTTTGATCTAGTAATCTGCCAAACACAATGTAGGATTAAACCCTTAGGGCCCTCATAATCGCAGAAAGAATCTAGAAATAAGATTGAGCTGCTGCGATAGTGAGAAATTGACAAAAACAAGCCCCAAGTGAGACTTAGGGTATTGTTAACTTCTTTCAAACCTAATAAAACTAGTAGAAAGATTTTTTCTGACATTAAACCCTAGAATCTTTACTATGTTGAAATTAGCCCTTGAAACATTGAAATTGCTATAAGGCTCCTTGATTCTTTTAAATTTTGCCTTCAAATTTGTTTCTCAAATTGCTAAATTTGCCATTAGATATCTTTGAATTATTATGTATTGCTTCAAATTAATTCCTCTCTAATGAAGAATGAAACCAGATCGGCACACTCGATTTTGAGGTCCATCATTTCTCCAAGAAAAATTAAACTGATATCTTTAATCGAGAAAAGCAATAGAAAGATATAAGATTTGAGGGACCTAACCAAAATTTATAGATTTGAGTGATTAATTTTAGAAATTTGAAATTAAAGGATTAATAAAAATTCCTATAAAATTTAAGACTCTTCAGACAAGGTATAATTATTTTGAAGTATAAATCCGATTGTAATATTTAGTTGTGCCACTACTTTATAACTCAAAAAAAAAAATTTCTCTCAATAAATTTACTCATTTATACTTGAAGTTACTGTTAATGCTACAGTAAATTACAGCAGCATGAACAGTGAATCAAATTTGCTCCTCTGCATTTGAAGCTACTATTCATGCTACAGTGATTTACTATATCATAACCAGTAAATCAAATCTACTACTCCATACTTAAAGTTACTATTCATATTGTAATATTATATCATAAATAGTAAAGAAAATCAAATGCATTAAAATTTGGATCATCTTTAAAGTATAGAGGAGTAAATTTGATTTCTAATCAAATGTATTAAAACTCGGATACTTTTTTTTTAAGTATATAAAAGAATAGATATGATTTCTAATTTTAAATATACAATAATTAAACTAAATGTATTAAAACTTAGGGCAAGATAAGCTCTAATTTACAGTGCTAAAAAAACAGTGGGTCTTGCATTACACGTGTGCACACAAGTAATTATTATTAAGAAAAAAAAACGAGGTAGCACGAGGAAAAACGTAAAAAAAAAAGCATATCCATCTCCTCCGATGGCCGATTCCAAGCGTACGGATTTGTGGTGTGTTCTTCAGCACGCTCGTGATTCACACATAAATTCTCTCTCCCCTTCCGAAAATTTTCCAAAACACTCTCTTTACTAAATTTGTAGCTAAAATTCTCTCAGTTGATGGAGAAATACTAATTTTGTAGTTAAAAACCCTCTCAATCGATAGAAAATGGGCTCCGATTCATACTCAAGTGGAGGAGGAGGAGGAGGAGGAGGAGGAGGGAGTCGAGCTCGAAGTTTAGCCCTCAAAGCCCTAGTTCTCTTTGGAGGTGCCCTAATTCTAAAGAGACTTCGAAAGTCGACCACGAGATGGGACCACGCTCGTGTCGTTGCTGAGAGCCTCTCTGGTGAGAAGGTAATCATCGCCACTAAAAATCCCAATTTTCTATGAATTTTTGGGGCTTTTGGCTGATTATTGTTTTGTTTTTTGTTTTTTTTTCCTCTCAAGTTTTCAGGGGAGCAGGCTAGGAGAGATCCTGATAATTACTTTAATTTGAGGTGGGTATTTTTTCCTGTTTAGAGAAAAGTGCTGACTTGGTGTTCTTGATTGGTTCAATGAGAACTTTATCGGCTTTAATCTTGTGGGCTGCAAGCAAAAAATTGTTTATTTACAAACTGTCAAGCGATTGATATCTTTTTGACATGGTTTTAAGCATTAAGAATTCACCTTTCAACGAAGCTCCAGGCGTTGGTATAATCGAGCGGCTCAGTAGGAATCCTGATAGTTACTTTAAAATTTAGGGTGGCTATTTGTTCTTGTGTAGAGAGAAGTGCTATCTTGTTGGATTTCTATTGAAGTAGTATCCATCTTGATTGGTTGAATGATAAATTTTATCAGCTTTACTAGCTTAATCTGTTTGCTATAATTCATTAGTCCTTATGAGCTAGATGTGACAATTGCTTACCGGTTGTTAAAATCTCTGGTTGTTTGATGCGTTAATATGGCTCTGAACATTGTAAATCTTCCTTCTAACTAAGCTCTAGGCATTGGTATAGTCAAAGTCAGTTTGGGAATTGAGAGCAGCATAGCAGGAATCCTGAGAATTTTCTTTAATTTGAGGCGGGTATTTTGTTCTTGTACAGATAAAGACGCCACCTTGTTGTTTCTCTGTAGAAATAGTTGGCATCTTGATCGGTTGAGTGATTAAAAAAATTAACTTAAGGAGAAAATTTCTTTGCTAAGACACATTCATTCTTATGAGCTAGAATTAACAATTTCTTGATATAAATCTTAGGTTGTTTGGTATGCTGATATGTTTCTAGGACTTAACTACTCTTCTTCAAACTAATAGGCCATGGTATTGTCAAAGACTGGCTGAGAATTGAAAAATGTTCGTAACACACTTCTTGGATTTTAGTTTCAGTTTTTTTGTTCATGATATGTAGTTCCAAGTTAATCATCACATTGATTTTGTATACTTTATACATGAATACCATCTTTCCTCTATATAAGTGAAGGAACAGTGATGTTTTTCCACTCACGGATACTTCATTTTCTTCTTGCCTTTCAGAATGCTCACATGCCCCGCAACGGAGATGGTAGATGGCTCAAAAGTTTTATATTTCGAGCAAGTATGCACAGCCTATTTGAATTACATATCATTTAATTCACTTGTATTAAATTATACAAAGAAGGA